TATCGGGGCTCGGGATCACCAGTCTCTGTGCAATGAATTTACAAGTGACCAACCAGGCCGATGCGTGATGTGAATGTGCGATGGCAATGAGGACAGGATTATTTGAGGGATGTAGCGTCGGTTGAAATGGCGAGGCTACCAGTTGCGGCCGCGCTGGTCGATGACAAGTTATTAGTGCTGGAGATACATGAGGCGAGTGTGGTGACTGTATGTCGGGGCTGCATGCTCAGGTCCACCGGTGTCAATATGATGGGTGTGTAAGTGACTGATCAGGCTGATGAATGGCATGCATGCTTCCTGGCGGTAGGGGCAGGATAGGCTGGCAGTTGCTGGGTTGGTTGCGGTAGTAATGTCGTTACTGAAGGCGGATTTAATGGTGCTACAGATGGGAGAGTTATTGGATATTTAAAGTAGGTTTTGAGAGGAAGGAGAAGAAGACTCGATCTCTGGGACAATATGTTTATTCGCCTGACGTTTCGACATCCGTCGCGGATTCATAATCATTTTATTCGCCTGACGTTTCGACATCCGTCGCGGATTCATCATCAGAGACATGAGCATGAAACAGTAGCAGAAACCCGTTTCTGCCAAAGCAGGTTTCGTTTTTGAACATTGTGATGAATGTCGATGTATAGGCAGATAGTATTGCCGGCGAGGAAAAGGTAGACTGGAATGGCCATTTCTGGTCAGGGCGGGGCGGGACAAGTGAGTTCGGTTAGCGGTCAGTGAACGTTCATAAATGAGTGTTGGTTGGTTGGTAGCCCATTGTTGGGTCAGGAGTTACCGCTGAGGTCCAAACTGGATGCAGTTGGGAGACGGAGAAAAGCCGCGACCTCAGCCGCCTTGAGTCAAAAGTCCACGGGAGTGAGTTGGGTGCCTGGCCGGGAACTGTAGGCGAACAGAAGCTAACAGTCGTGCGGAGAAAAGCCGCAGTCAAGACAGCAGTCGGGTATGAACGGGTCGAACCGGGCCAGTGAGTAGCCACTGCATAGTTGAGCCAGAGTACAACGAGTATGAATATGGGTGGTTCATGTGGCCGAGTAGGTCCCTGCCACGACCGAATGTGCATGAGCAGTATAAGCGTAAGTAGCACGTGTATGTCGGGGCTACGGGTCTTGCTTCAGTGGTCTCCGTACGACGGATCCGCAAGTGACCGGTCAGGCCGATGCGTGATATGAGAAAGTGATCGCATCAGGATCGAATGCTGTTATACCTATTTAAACTTATTTCCAGCCTATTGCCCTGTTATAGATACACCTGTCACAACTGTGCGCCATTTTATGGCTCTGCTTTCGAGGAACCTTTTAAGGAAGTCGTATGTGGATGCCTAATGTACCTTGTAATAAACTACTTTTTGTCTGCTGGGCAGTGTCCACGCTCTCAAAAGACCTATTCTCTATTAAATAGGACATCGCTCAGGCGCCCACCGCCCCCATATATCACCAGAAGCAGTCGCTCCTCCTCTGTGCTGTACATGCCATAAACAATGTGCTGCAATTCGAAGCGGTGAACAAGAAGTCAATGGATGCGATCTGCTCTAGCCTATCACCAGGCAGCAGCTGGACCAACCCACATCGCAATATTTTGGGTCTAGGCAACTTTGATGTCAACGTGCTCATTTTGGCTTTGCAGGAGAATGGCCACGATGTTGTATGGTTTAACCGACAGAAGAGCATGACTGAGTACAACCTCAATTGGGACCTCATCACGGGGTTCATTCTCAACACCGGTCGGAAATGGCTGTCACCCATTCCTCTCACCAGTCACCACTGGATTGCCTTCCGCGGCTTCCCCAGTCCAGGCGGCGACCGCTTTCAGTACTACGACCTGGACTCCAAGTTGCCCTCTCCCCTCCTTGTCGCGAGCTCGCATGCGGAGTTCGCCACGTACATCGAGAACCGGCTCAACGGTTCGTCCAGTTCGCAGTTACTGATAGTTGCGCCTAAGGAGGTCGTCAGTGATCGAACCTGGACACTCACGAAGGCGAGCTGACTGCGGATTCTCGCGCAGACAGCGCCGTTAGCGCCATGACCGTCTAAGGCCGCTTTTGTCGGTATTCTTCTGTTTTAAAACTTCACGAAGCCGGACTTCACGTTCCCACTGCACGTACTTTTTATTTCAATAATATACACAACCTTGGTGAACCAATCGGACACTCGTTTGTTTTACTACTTCGGAACCCATTTCACTGTGTATTCTTTTATTTTACTTGGTATATGTCTTGTATGCACATTTTCGGACATATATTCTCGCACGAACCCCTCGTACTGACTTTGAACCTGCTGTTCCTGTTTTTGAAAAAAAAAACGCTTAGGATGCCGAATTGCTATAGAAAGCGATTTTAATCTTCTCTGCTTCTGTATGCAACTCAGAACGCTAACCACTCGTCCTAGTTGGCAATCAGATTTTGTGATGAGTGGGGGAGTTTTTCACTCGGGGTTAAAATAAATGTAGCTAGCGGTGTAGGCTAAGGAATATTGCCAGAAAAGATAGGGGAGACTGGAACGACCACTTCTGGTTTAAAGCAAAGTTTCCCAGGTGCAAATTTGTAGATTGCAAAAATAACAAAATTTATTGGATCCATGAAATTTCGGGAAAGCTCATCAGTTGCGTCCATCCCATTGCACGGTGGGAGAAAAGAATGAGAAAAATGCAAAATTGAATTGGTACAGGAAGGTCAAAAAAGGTTATAGAGCAGGTTACGAAGGCTAATTAGTGAAGTTGGCGAGTCAAAACGAGGTGGGAGGAAACACAGATGAAAAGGAGTTAGGGCGAAAAGGTGAGCAGGGGACTGTGTAAATATGGGAGCCAGATTTTACCAAGTCAGAGCTGGGTTAACCACATGCTCCAACTGTTTCACCAATTGCAAAGGCAATTGGCAGCCAGAGCTAAGGAGCACTTGTCTAGTTGGCTTTTCAAACTGGAACATAGAACGCCTCGTTCCTCCATTATCGAACATTTGCTAGATATAGGACATTCCGTGGACCCTAAAACTTCCTTTCGTGTACTTGTTCGAGCATGAACAACTCGTACCTTGCGTTACCTGGGGCAGCCTACACACGGCTGTCAAAACCTGACCTATGTAAACAGTTGGAGCAAGTGGTCAACCTAGCCTTGCCTTGGTAGCATCCGGGTCCCAGATTTACACAGTCTCCTGCCCACTTTTTCCCTTA